TCGGTATGTGCTAGAGAGTGAAGTTAGAGATCTCAAGACAAGCAGCAAGAGGAAAAGGAAATTGGAACCCCAGAGTCTTTGTTAGTCTCAAATTAGATAAATGATTAATACCATGCATGCCTCATAATGACAGACCCACTTACACAAAGTGCTCATGTCTTTCCCATTTATAAACCTTCCCTAGGAGACATCTCTGGAAATGAGGAAAAAAACTGAAGTTTATTAAGACATATGAATTTGACCAGGGCCACTCAAGATACCACAATCAGGGCTGTGACTAGAATTCAGGTCTCTTCCTATTGGTCCAGATCCCTGGAATATCTGGGACATTGTTCTTACTACTGTAGTTCACCATGCTGGCTTGTTTTCTATTTTTATATACTACCCAAGCCCATCCCAGTCTAGCCCACTACATCCCACTGAAACAGCCTGACTGGACTAATAAAGAATCTTTGTGAATTGCAAGCATTTTTCCTGAATGAATTCATGACCACGTTAGAGGTTTCACTTTCTGTTTTTTAGCTGTGTCCACAGAAGTTCCTCTATTTCTACTATCCCTCAATTAGATAGCTTCTGCTCTTCTCCAATGAATATAAAGAAGTCTAAGCAACTGTCTGCAAAAATCTGTTAATGATTCTCCTGTATTTTCTAAATCCTTTAGTTATTTAAGTTGATATTAAAATATTTTGCTTTCATTAGTGTCTTGTGAAAAATAAGTCCATTCGGGGCAGCTAGGTGGTGCAGTGGATAGAGCACCAGCCCTGAAAGTCAGGAGGACCTGAGTTCAAATTTGGCCTCAGACCAAACACTTGACACTTACTAGCTTTCTGACCCTGGGCAAGTCACTTACCCCCAAATGCCTTTAAAAAACAAAGAAGAAGAAGAAAAAAGTAAGTCCATTCTAGGACATTTAGCTGCCCAAATGACCCCAGAAAAAGGATTAGGGAATGCATTATAAATAGGCCCTTCTTTGCTTTCTAAAGCCATTATCTCAGTGCTGCTGGTATCTTTATGGAGCTTCCAGAGATACCAGAACTCTGTTTTTGTCTTCTTCCTTTACTCAAAGTAATCACATGGCTCCATGGTTTATTTTCTTTTTCTACTTTTGAAAGGGAATATGCTATAGTTGATAGACTCCTGGATTTGGAATTAGGAAGATGTGCTGAGATCTTACCTGTGACACTTTCTTTCCTTATGATCATGGTAATAGTTTCATATGATCATAGATTTAGAGCCTGAAGGGAACCCTGAAACTGATTCCTATCCGTCCTTTAAAATGCAATTGAAATGCTACCTCCTGTAAGAAACATTTTTTCCTTGATTCTCCCTATCAATAATAATCCTCCCCTAAGATTTCACATTTATAAACCATACAATTCCAAATCACAGACTTTAGGGCTGGAAGGAACATACAGAGAGCATTTGCTCTAATCCCTTTATTTTATATATGGGAAGACTAAGGAACAGAGAAGTTCATTGATCTCCCTGAGTCACCCAAGTAGTGAATAGCATAGCAGAGATCTGAAAGCAAGTCATTTAACTCCAAATCCCGAGTACTTTCCACAAAACCATAATTGCCTTAATTACTTTTTTATTTATCTTTTTAATGTACTTAAGATATAACATGATTTGTTGTCATATGCATTTGTATTTTATTTCCCTACTATGTTGTAAGCTCCATTCAGTCAGGACTACCTAATATCTAACTTTGTCTCCCTCAGAGCTAAGCACAGTACTCAGAACATAGTAGATTCTCTAGAAATGATTTATTACAAGAAAATTTCACAGAAACTCTTTTGAAACTAATATCTGATCCAACTCGCAATATTAAAATGAGTTATCAAACATAAGTTAACATGATGAGCTTTATTTAAATATATGTATGTGTGTGTATATATATATATATATATATATATATTAAGATTCTGTTATATCATACCATGTGATATTAGAACCATAGACTTTAGAGTTGGGGAGGGGAGTTTTGGGGGAGTAAATCTCAAAGATCATCTATTATAACTCATTCCTTTTTTGAGTTAAGGAAACTGAGTCACAGAGAAGGAAAGTGATTTGCCTGAAATTACATAGTTTATGCAGCTTCAGGACTTGTACCAAGGTCTTTTTACTTCCCAAACATGACTCTTTCTTCCATACTACTTCTAAGGTGAAATGATTCCTAAAATATGTTTGCTAAGAGAAACAAGATGCATGGAATTTTAATCAGTTATTAATGAGAATGACCCTTATATACACAAGCATGTGACTGCTTAGAACCTCTTATTCCACATAGACTTTGCAATTTCTTCCAACCTCTTCCACTTAACTTGCTTTCAAGTTACTTAAAATGGTACTTCTCATATTAAATTAAGCTTTCACGATTCTCCTGGCTTCTAGTGCTTTCTCCTTGAAATTATGTTGTATTTGCATTTTTGTACTTACAAATCTATTGGCTGTTCCCACTAACCTCTAGAACATAAGCTTCTTTACAAAAGAACTTTTATTCTTTTCTTTGTGTCCTCATGACCTACTCTATTGCCTAGCACATAATTGGTGCTTAGTAAATGCTTATTGACCATCTCTTCTCAAAGTCTTTGTTTGGATCCACTAGTATATTATTGATAATAATGGCTATGATTTGTAGGACCAAAGCTTCAGGGAACCTGTTCTGATGATCAGGGATTGGGTTCCTTTGGGAGATTTCACACATAAGGACAAAGTTTAGGCCGTAGAGAAAGCTAGCTCCACTGACTCCCAGTGTAATCTTATGAAGATCATTTGCTCTCAATGGCTCTCAGTTTCCTGGTGCATGAAGTGAGGGAATTATGCTGAATTTTTCATTTATGAAATTCTGTGATTCTCTAAACCAGTTAGATACTGATACAGAGATAAAAGATACAGATGTACTGGACATAACTTTGCCCAGTTGGTGTAATTCCCAAGTACATGTTTAGTACAATATACCCAAACAGATAGCAGAGGGTAGTGAATAAAGAGCTAACCTTAAAGTCAGGTAGATTTGGGTTCGTAACCTTAGGAAAGTCACTTAATTTATCAATACCACAGGCAACTTGTTAAGACTATAAGTTGAAAAATAATTATTGATCTGCATCTGGAGAGGAAATTTTCTGACTAGGAGTCAGACCAATGAAATGATTGGTTCAAGGAGGGACAAAAACAAAATACAAATGAATACATAAGTAAAAAAAATCAAGCACCTATTAAGTGTGAAGAACTGTGCTTGATGCTGGAGATATAAATATACACTATCTGTCTGCATAATTTGTTTAATTATTCATGTATAAAATTATTCTTATGGAAAAACCTACTTGTATAACGTAATTTCATTCAATGTCAAATTTTCACCTCAGTAGTGAGTGATATTAGGTGGTATGGGTAGTATATATGGTAAGTACTGGTTAAAAAATTAAGTTGGCTGTCACAAAGGATATGTAACTTTCAAGTCACCACTTTCTTTTTTGTTTGTTTTGCTTTTGCTTTTTTTGGTGAGGCAATCAGGGTTAAGTGACTTGCCTGGGGTCACACAGCTAGTAAGTGTCAAGCATCTGAGGCTGGATTTGAATTCATGTCCTCTTGATTCCAAGGCCAGACCTCTATCCACTGTGCCATCTGGCTGCCCCTCACTTGTATTCTTTCTGTCTGATTTTCCAGATACATGAACTGAAATTCTTGGATTAAATGATCTGTAAAGATCCCTCCTAGCTTTAAAATTCTCTAGACCTATTATTTTAAATTTCAAAGTGTTTTTTTTATTTATACCATGATTTTTCTTTTAAAATTTTTTTCTGAATCTTGATTTTGCCATTCATCCCGTTAACTATCCCTTTCAGTTTTTCTTCAAATCATATAAGTACGACTTTTATATCATTGAAAATAACATTGACCAAAAGGAGGTCATAGCCAGAACCCTGTGACATACATTTAAACACTTCCCTGCAAACTTACACACAAGCATTAAACAACTAAATTCAACAAACACTGTTTAAATGCCTAATTGTGCAGGTTGGGAGCCTGAGAGAATGGGAAAATGGTATCAGCCTAGAGCCTTGGATCATTCCAGAGCTCAGTTGATATAATCACAGAAAGTAAGGGAGAGAGGTATGAAATTGCACACTGATCCATTTAATGGCATGATGGAATTAAAAGGGGATCCAGGCCACTGGATGTATTTTTATAGTTAGTCTTGGTTGTCATAATACTTCAGTTATTTTCTGTCACTACATCAAGTAGGGGCAGGGGTTAGGAAGCAAGAACCTATCTTCCTGCTTATATGTAAAATAAGGAAATTCTAGAAAATGGCTTTCAAAGTCCTATAGTCCCTTTAAGCTCCAAATCTGTGATCTTATGATTCTATGACTCCAAATTCTGTCTTCTTCCACAATAAAAGCTTGTCTCACAACAACAAGTTGTTGTTGTTATGTATATGGAATTAGTTTGCCTGACTCTTCGCTAAGATTCCTAAATTTGATCTCTATGCTCAAACCATTGGCATTTGAAGGTTCTTTGCTGCTCTTCATACTGTTTGCCATTATAAGTGATGGTCATTTTCTCTGTCACAAGACCTTTTGAGATCTAGGGTTCAGCCAGGATAAGCTGAGAAACAAACAAATACATAAAGTAACAATTGACCCAAAATTTCTGGCTCTGCCTTATGACCAATTTGTGAACCCAGATATACTTTCTCAGTTTTGAATCTTGTGCTAGGACTCTTCTGTAATCACTGATTCCTAATCTTGAATTGAGGATAGAACTGGTTACAGATTCTTCCCTGCTCTCTGGTTTCCATTAAGGGCAGTCTGAGGGCTCTCAAGAGATTTCCATTGCATTCTGTCCAAAATAGAGACAGATAAATGTCTTTAAGCTGAAGAAAGGATGTGTGATACACAAGGATAAATAGCATTTGCCTACTGCTGCCCCTTCATTCCTCACCATTCTATATTGCATTGCCTTTGTAGGTCCCAACAGCCCTTGACATTCAAACAATGAAGGAAGAAAACATCACTAACATCACTGAGTTTATCCTTGTGGGCTTCCCAACTGCTGTCTGGCTGCAGATTCTGCTCTTCATCCTCTTCCTTGGAAACTATCTATTTGTACTGTTGGAGAATCTGGTCATCATCCTCACTGTCTGGGTCAATGGTTCCCTCCTCAAGCCCATGTACTACTTCCTGAGTAGCATGTCCTTCTTGGAGATATGGTACATTTCTGTCACTGTCCCCAAGATGCTTGCTGGGTTTCTCCTTCATCCTAACACCATCTCCTTCCTGGGCTGCATGACTCAACTCTACTTCTTCATTTCACTTGTCTGCACAGAATGTGTGCTCCTGGCTGCCATGGCATATGACCGTTATGTGGCAATTTGCCATCCACTCCACTACCCAGTCATCATGACTACAGAGTTCTGTATGCAGCTGACTGTAAGTTCCTGGGTATGTGGCTTTTCTATTGCTGTAGCCAAGGTTTATTTCATCTCACGTGTCAACTTCTGTAGTAATAATGTCTTAAACCACTTTTTTTGTGATGTTTCTCCCATCCTAAAACTGGCTTGCAAGAATTTTTCTATGGCTGAGACAGTGGACTTTAGCTTAGCCTTTGTGATCCTTATATTCCCTTTCTCAGCTACTGTTCTCTCATATGGCTTCATTATCTCCACTGTCCTGCACATCCCCTCAGCCTCTGGACGACAAAAAGCTTTCTCCACCTGTGTTTCTCACCTCACTGTGGTAGTCATCTATTATATGGCAGTAATCTTCATGCATGTTCGGCCTCGAGCCATTGCTTCCTTCAATTCCAACAAATTGATCTCAGCCATATATGCAGTCCTTACACCTATGTTAAATCCCATCATCTACTGCCTGAGGAACCAAGATATCAAGGATGCCATCAAGAAGACCTTGGTCAATGGCTGTTGCCTGTTCTGGAGAGATACTTCTTTCTGAAGAGACCTATTCATTTCTTGGCCCAAGTACTAGGCAGAAGCTCAAGATTATTTATAGAAGGGAGAAGGATATTTTGTACTTATATAGTACTAGGAAACTACCAGTTGAAAAAGTATAAACTGCCAAGTGAGTGATATTAAACATTAAACATAATATTCAATATATCTATTTCAAAAATTATTTTCAATAAATGAAAAATAAGACACTCTACCAAATTCCTTTATTAAGGTGAGTTCTGATTGAATCAATAAATCACCTCATTTTCCTTAAGCAGATGAAAACACCTATCTATTGAATGACTTAATTAAAGACATTGTACTAGCTGTGAAAAGTCCTTAATTTGGAATGCATGAAAGTCATTGAATGAAATGACTAAACAAGAAACGTATTGGAATTTCTTGAGAAGACTCATATGTGTCTTGGGGGGTTGAGGTATTATAAAATAAAAAGCCAGTTCAGAACTGGCTTTGGCACTGGCTAGGTTGGCCAGAAGTATTTCTAGCCAATTTTTGAGAGAGAATTCTGTGAGCAATAGGAGATGTTTCTTTCTACTAAATCTCTTCTTTGCTACTTTGATCAAATGAGGGGCTTGTGAATATTTAAGTAAAAACATTAAACAAAATCTTACCAAAGAGATTCCTGAAATATAAAGAAAAATTTACTATGGTCATGTTGATTTATATAAGAAATGTAAGGAAAATTGGGAATGGTTGGGATATTTTGCATGAGCAATTTGAGGTGAGTTGGTGTGGTTTAAGCTTCAAGCATAACCTTAAAGCTTGGAAAGATATTCCACTTCAAGACACTCTTTTGTCCTGGTAAAACATTATCTCTGTGTTCCAAAAACATTTTTGTATCTATAGCTAGCTAATAATATTAGCTAATAACTATATAGTACTTATTATGTGCATGATACCTTTATAAAACAAACTTTTTTTTGTGATAATTCCCTATGGCTGTGAATTATAAAGTAACATAATTCCAGAAGAATCAAAAGTGAATGGGATTCAAAGGGCAATGGAAAGAAATTTGGTGGTTAGAAGCAGACTATAGTGTATTACCAACAATGACACTTTTGATCTGTCTCCTGTATAATACGTCTTTTTTCTCTTTTCAGCCCTATGTTCCTTTGTGTATCTTTTGTACTCCTCTTCACGAACTCTATGTTTCATTCTAATTGAACTACTAGTTATTCTCTGAAGTCATTCCACTCCTTCCTCCATTCGCTTGTGCAATCTGCAAAACAACATTTTATCATCTGCACTTCTTAAAATCCTTATCTTTTTTTTCAAAGCTCAGATCAAGTGTCAACTTCTCAACAAATCCTGGATCCTCTCTGTTGCTATGTTCTCTCTCTCCTCATAGCTTTGTTTTATATTAATCTGTGAACATTCTATTTTTCCCCAGTAGAACATAAACTCTTTGAGGACAGGGATTTATTCTTTTTTGTCTGTATTCACCGTGCCTAGCACAGTGTCTCTATTATATGCCTATGTGGCACATAGTGGGAACTTTGTACCTTGTTGAATTAAACTGACTTGAAATTAATTGCACATACAAAACAGATTACCAAAGGATATTTAACACTAAAAAAAAAACCTGGGCAGGTCACATATAAAAATCCTGCATTCTTAAATATTACAATGACCATAAGAAAGACTCCAGAACACTAGGTAGAATTGACTATTGAGATATGAATTAAAATCATCACCATCATCATCATTATCAGTATAGCTAACATTTATATAATACGTTAAGGATTGCAAAGTGTTTTCCACATGTTAACTCAATTGATCCCTCACAACAACCTGGATGGAGTTAGGTGTTATTATTATCCCCATTTTGCAGATGAGGAAAGTGAGGCACAGAGAGGTTGAGTGACAGAATCGCACAGCTAGTCAGTATCTAAGGCAGGATTCACATTCAGGTCTTTCTCATTCTAAGGTGTATGCTCTATCTACTATGCCACAATTTGCTTATTATACAAGATTAGAAGGTATAAGTGAGTTATCATATCCATCAACAGAAGCAAAGCCAACATCAAGGAGATAATGAATCTATCAAAGTATGATTATGGAAATTAAATGTAATTATTTTATATTTTGTTTATTATGCATCATCATATATTTATTGATTATTCATTTATATGTTCTTATATCTTATTTTTATTCAGTTCAATCATTGTTTATTAAACATCTACTGTGTGCCAGGCAATAGACATACAAAGGCAAGAACAAAATATGCATTTTTGCCTTATGCAATTTGCATTGAATTCATGGGAAATTATATGCATATAATATAATATTAGATATATATATATGTGTATACATGTATATGTATATGTGTATAAAAATATTTATATATATAAATCCAATTTGGATAGGACAGAGCACTAAAATTGGAGATACAGGAAATTTTTTTCTTATTTTTAAAAGTTGTGTTACCTCATGATCACATAGTTCATGGGAACTGATTGGCTTAGCTTAAGTCCACATTTTTAGAATTCACACAAACATACCTAGATGGCCACAAAGACAAGTATATGACTTCTAAGTTGTTCCTTCAGCTGTTAGATGGAAATCATTCCCCTTGAGAAGAAAGAAAACAATCTTTTTTTTCCTTTTTTTCAAACACAATTATATGTAATAGATATATCTTACAGGAAAAAGGTTACATTTCCCACAATAACTAGGCCCAGAGTTGAAATTCTCAGAGGAGGATTCCATTTTTCATAGTGTTGTATGACTAGACAGAGATAAGAATGGCAAGGATAGAATTTTATGAAAATGGAGATTTAATGAGGATTTCTGCCAGATTTTGTAGGACTTAAGGCATTTCAGAGACTGCAGTAGAGTACACAGGAACTCAGATAATTTCTTGTGGTCCACAGAGCATGGAGAAACAATATCTAAACAGCAAAAGAGCTTTAGTGACTAGTTGATTATCCCTGAGATAATGGAAACATTGTATAGGTGATGTTTCCCATCAATCACTCTGAATGCAGAAAAATCTTGCCCAATTTGGCTTTTTTACAAGGTCTATGTGGTTGGAAAGTTTTTTTCTAAAATGAGTTCCCCAGGATTCTAGGGGAAATAGGGTGATAACAATCTCCTAGGATATGAGCTGAGATTGATTTGTTTGTTCTACTAAATATTTCATTTCTAGCTAAATGTTTTATTGTGTTGATGCAACTTCTCCCATGGGTCTGTTAGTATTCTGAGTAACTGAATAACTCAAGTGCTCAGTTTTGAGCAAAAAAATACTTGTAATACCCAGGGCTTCTCTCACACATGGGACCCCCATCAACTGAGGGACACAAGAAAGCCAACTCAGGTTTGAGGTATTTTGTGGTTTAGTATATACTCAGAGACATAACTCATGAGCTCTCACAAAAACATAGTTTTATAAGACCAACCAGAAGTTACATCAGTTTAAACTAACAATCAAGGAACATGTAAAAAAAAAAGTAATGAGATATCATTCTCACATATACGGATACCATCTCCTAAAGGTTATAACATAACAAATAAACATAACATAACATAACATAACATAACATAACATAACATAACATAACATAACATAACATAACATA